GTATTTACATCCAGGATCATACAACATATCTTCTTTCCTCAGAAAAACTAATTCTAATAAAATGTAGAATGTTTAAAAACATTAGCAATAGAAATAAAATTTAACACTTTCATTGCTGATGGGAGAAGAGGTGGATTCATGCCTTTCCCAAGAGTATTTATGCATAAGAGAATAATAATGAACTCGAATAGAATTAGAACTTGGCACTCCAATTACCAATTCCAAGCTGTTATTCCTTACATCACCCACATATCCAAGCTTACAGTACCTGGCCTTCCCAGAGACCCATCTAGGGACTGATCAAGCTCAACATTTCTTAATTTTGGGGATCCTAAGACAACCTGTGTTTCAATGTGACAATCTGCTGTAAGCCTGACTACTAAGCTAAACATATATATATATATATATATATATGAAATATATATATATATATATATATATATATATATAAAAATATATATATATATATGTATATATATATATATATGAAATATATATATATATATATATATATATATATGAAATATATATATATATATGTATATATATATATATATATGAAATATATATATATATATATATATATATATATGAAAACATATATATATATATGTATATATATATATATATGAAATATATATATATGTATATATATATATATGAAAATATAATATATATATATATATATATATATATATATATATATATGAAATATATATATATATATATATATATATATATATATATATATGTATATATATATATATATATATATATATATATATATGTATATATATATATATATATATATATATATATATATATATATATGAAAACATATATATGTATATATATATATATATATATATATATATATATATATATGAAATATATATATATATATATATATATATATATATATATATATATATATATATATATATATATATATATATATATATATATATATATATATATATATATATATATATATAATATATGGATATAGATCTGACAGTATGAAGAAAAATATACAGAAAAAACAAACAAAAATCTTAATATGCAATTATGTTGTATTAATGTTAATATAAAAGTCAACGTCGGACAAATAAGTTGTGCTCTTATGTCCATCGTCTTTTCATGTTAAATTTTATATGTTCTAATGTTAATTATGTTTAATGAAAATGTCCTGAAGATGGTCTAAAATAGACAGAAATGTCCGACGTTGACTTTTATATTAACATTAATACAGCATAATTGCATATTAAGATTTTTGTTTGTTTTTTCTGTATATTTTTCTTCATATATATATATATATATATATATATATATGAAACATGTAGCCATCTCTTCTACTCTAATAGCTTTATACCTCGCACCTCTCGCCTGTGGAACACCCTTCCCAATTACTGTTTCCCTGAGAGCTATAATCTCCAACTATTCAAATCGACATCTCCAGTTACCTTGATCTACCCACTATCCCTCTCCTCATCCTTTCTTCTATCACTCCTATCTGCTCTCGCTCCAAATCTTCTGCAACCCCCTGCATCCTAGTGACTTCACGCCTTGCTCAGGGCGTAATGCTTATATTTTATATATATGAAGAAATATAGTTTTAAGGTGTGCTATATTTATGAAATAAAGTGCTCAATATCTGAGATAGATTGTATGTAAATATAAATATAAAAGTGAATATTGATGTCAAAACTCAGAGGAGACAGGCTGTTTCCAGCTAGACACAATCGTCAGGCTGCGTGATGATTGCATCTAGCATGAAACAATTAATTTCTAAGGAATTAATGGGTTTTCATTTATTAATCTGACATATTTTTATTACTTTAAACACTATTTTTAGTGGATATTCATATTTGAGTATCTACTAACATATGGGTATCCACTAAAAATAATTTTTAAATTATATATATATATATATATATATATATATAATTCTCAAAATGTGTTTGTATGTATGTGTGTGTGTGATCAGATGTTGTTTATGCATTTCTACTGTTTTCATCCAATTTTGATGAAAGTTTTTGTTTGATAGATAATTCTTCAGTGCTGGTTTTGACAATGACAATGGCTCTCCATTACTTCCTGTCCATTATAACTCACAACAACATTTTCTATTTACTATCTGTTATTGGATAGATATCTTTCATAAAAACTTTGATAAAAATAAATAGTTTATATAATATATATATATATATATATATATATATATATATATATATATATATATATATATATATATATATATATATATATACAATGATATTATTTATTATTATACAGTTCACTTTTCAGGCCCCCACATTCAACTTGTTAACCTCCTCATTTGGCTATGTGCCTCAGTTGCACCCAATTGTTGTTACTAATAGTGATACCATAGCCTGTACCTGTGAGCAATGATGAAGTTTTAGAGAAAATGGAAACAAAAAAATACATATAGTTAATATCAGAAAGAGATAGTTGAAATTTTGAGGGTATATATTGAGGAAAGAGGGCTTGGAAAATCTGATACTCACAGGACAGAATGAAAGCAAGAAGGACAGAGGAAAACAATGCATAATCTACCCAGCGAGATTGTGTGAATGGATGACAAATCAGGGTGTAGGGGAGATAGGAAAAAGATAAAATTTGCTAGGGTATATAAAGGCGAGGAAATTGTGGAGAGCTGTGATCGTCAATGTCCAGAAGATACAGGGCATATGGAAGAAGAAAAAGAATGTGTTTGTGTAAATGGATGGTAGAACAGAGTTACTAAGAACTATAAAGGGAAGGAAATTGTGGAGAGGCATGATCAACAACATCTTGAAAGGGCATGGTAATGTATACTCTGTTTTTCATTGACAAAGCAATCTATTTTTTTCTTGTTACTATTATGAATCTAATTTATACTATGCAATATCTTCTAAAAATGAATGTTGGGTGTTATATACCGTGCCTATGAACACTAATTTGTATATTCCAATCCTTATAAATACGTTGGACACTAGTGTAAGTGGGGGTAATATACTGTCTGAGTGGCTCCACTATAGCAGTGGTTTACCTATTTCACGCTGCTGGTGAGTATTGTATTTTGTTGATGTTATAAAGATTACCATTTCATTTCCAACCACTGTTTTGGTTATTCCTCATTCTGTAACCCTTCCTAGGTTAAAATATTGAGTAAGGTGAATATTGACAATAACAAATATATTGTAAAACAGATATTTCTTACGTATATGTATCATTCCTTTGAATGAAAGTACATAAATAGATTGGCTTTAGAAAGGTGTCTCTTAAGATATAGATAATTACCCACATATAACGATATGCCCTGGAGTTTTTAAAAAGAATATCTCCTTTCTTAAAAGAAATACTCCTTTCTCAAGCAAACATATTTATGTAACATAAAAGCTTTGAGAAAAATGGAAATCTCATTGCATTTTCAAAATAACAATAATAATAATAAAAAATGTAGCACTTAAAAAAACTAAAACTGTTCTTGTGGCTGGAGCTTTGGGTTTGATAAAGAAAGGAACTCAACAATAAATCAATAAAATCCTGGTGCCCTATCTCTCCAGGAAATCTTCAAAATAGTTCTAACAAACATAAACGATGTCCTGCAAAGAGCTTTATATTTTTTGTTTATTTTGTTTATATTTTTGTGTCTTTTAAGTGTAAACAACAAAAAAAATCATATCCTTTGCTTGATCTAGGTCAGAGTTTCCCAAACTTTTTCAGGAGTGGAACCCTTCTGGGTTTAGAAATGTTTGGGAATAACTATAGATACTAATAATTTTATATGGTTTTAATATAAATATTTTCATATACTTTTATAAATAATAAGTATGTTCAAAAAGCAATTCAAAAATAATACATATTGATATATTTTTTAATAAAAAATGTTGTTTTAATTGTCATACTTCCCACAAGTAACATGCGGAACAGAATTACGAACAATGTTTATATTAAATTTATTTCATATGTAATCAGAATTTTTTGGACATTCAATGAGAACAATGCTTCCATTCCATATTGTCACATAATTTTTTGGCTTTATACTTGAGAATTTGATTCTCAAGTCAGCAGCAGAATTAAGTCTACTTTGGTATTTCAATTTTATGGCGGTGTAATAGGAAAATCCACTTTCATATAAGTAGGTTGGTGTTGTGTTTTTAACTGGAATGTATACACATGAAAAGTTATGCCGTGCAAGTTAATTAACACTTTTTCCTATATGGCGAGAAAATTAACTTTCAGATTTATGTGGTGTCATACTACGAAGATGATATCACAATCAATAACTACTTTTCAATTCAGCAGTTGCATGATACAATTATCCTTCACTAATATACAATAAAGAAAATTATTACAAGATACATCACAACATTATAGAACAATGTAAATCTATTGGCAACTATTTTTTTTTTAATTATTTACCAAACTTAATAATGTGTTATGTTAAATATTTATTGCTTTGAACTTTTGTTACGAAACTGCTGGGTTCCTCGAAATCCACTTTGAGAACCTTTGACCTAGGTCATAGGTTTTTTTTTTTTTTAAATAATAATAATAAATACTGGTAAAGATTATTAAATCAGTACAAGCAGAAAAATTGCTAATATAACAACCAATTTGAGGATGCTGGTATGAATACAATCTTTGTAATCATTCCTCATATCAAACATTCCATCAAAAATACTTCCCTACAGGGAAAGCAAACATTTCCTAATGTCTGCAGTTAAGTCTTGGACTCTCAGGACAAATGGAAAAAGAAAAGGAAATATTCATGCATGCATTCACAAATCTTGAAACAGAAATGGAATTCAATGGGGCTAGACAAAAAAAAAAAAAAATTAATTCCTTTAAAAAGGAATGAACCCTATAGGCAGATTTGCTGTGTGCAAAGTTTAGCACTTTGTTTTCATAATGTCAGCAGTGACAGCTCCTCAGACCCTCATGCATAGAGCTCCTAACTCCACTTCATAAACACAACCCCTCCACCTGGTTACTGGTATAAAGAGTAAAAAGGAAGAGAAAGTGAAAACTCGTTTGTGTAGAGGCCCGTCTGCCCCACCACCCGGCTGTGAACATGTGGAGGGGCTATTGTCCTGGCAGCTGCCTCACCTGCCTGAATCCCCTGTACCCTGACTACTGCCTTCAGCCAGCTTATGTCTTTCATTTAATACTGCTCTAACGCATTCTCTTACACCGCTACCCCCACCATTGTTATTTGCGGTAATGTTTATTCTGTCTCCCCCACTTCCTCCATTCTTCTTCCCTGTTACATAGACACACACACACACACACATACATAACCAGGACATAAACATAAAGGAATGTAAGATAATAAAACCCGACTTATCAGCAAGCAAAACCAAACCAATTTACAATCAATAATGTTTAATTGATTTTTCAACAGAAGATTTCATGAACTCCAACCTCAAGAGTATATCCTAATATGTACAATATCTTTTTTAATATCCATATTGTTTTTCTCATAAGTTTTAGGAAATCTAGAAGTGTAATTGTAATGAGATCTTTATTTTTTTCAAACATCAGAATTTTTAATTGAAAAATTAGGATTATTATATCCCTTGCTATTCAGACTACCATGTTCATTTTGGTTGTTATACTCACGTTTTGGCTCGTACCAATTTAATAATATTTATCAGTATTTTTGAGATGAGGAATTTATCATTATTATATACTTTGCTATTCAGACCAGCATCTTCATCTTGGTTGTTATAATCACAACATTTCGGCTCGTACCGATTTAATAATCTTTATCGGTATTTTTGAGATGAGGAATTATCATTATTATATATCTTTGCTATTCAGACCAGCATCTTCATCTTGGTTGTTATAATCACAACATTTCGGCTCGTACCGATTTAATAATCTTTATCAGTATTTTTTGAGATGAGGAATTGTCATTATTATATACTTTGCTATTCAGACCAAGATCTTCATCTTGGTTGTTATAATCTTTAACGATAATTTTTTCTCAAAAATACCGATTTAATAATCTTTATCAATTAAATTTTGATTATTTGAACCAGCATGTTCATCAAATTATTAATCCACATCTCAAAAATACTATTTATTAAATCTTTACGTTTCATGTTGTGATTATAACAACCAAGATGAAGATGCTGGTCTGAATAGCAATGCATATTTAATGATAATTCCTCATCTCAAAAATACCGATAAAGATTATTAAATCGGTACGAGCCGAAATTTTATAACAACCAAGATGAAGATGCTGGTCTGAATAGCAAAGCATGTAATAATGATAATTCCTCATCTCAAAAATACTGATAAAGATTATTAAATATCGAAACGTTGTGATTAATAACCAAGATGAAGATGCTGGTCTGAATAGCAAAGCATGTAATAATGATAATTCCTCATCTCAAAAATACCAATAAAGATTATTAAATCTGTACGTGTCGAAATGTTGTGATTATAACAACCAAGATGAAGATGCTGGTCTGAATAGCAAAACATATGATAATGATAATTTCTCATTTCAAAAATACCAATAAAAGTTATTAAATCGTTATGAACTGCAAGGTTGTGAGTATAACAACCAAGATGAAGATGCTGGTCTGAATAGCAAAGTATATAATAATAAGAAAAGAAGAACCTATTCCCTTGAATTGAATAAAGGGCTTGGTTTCAATTTCTAAAAAGATTACTAAATACGACGACCAACACCTGAAGAACATTGGAAGGTAAAATATAAATGGGACTCGAGACCAAAAATAATTCATCCCCTTTGCGCACTGCCCTTTTTGGGTACATTTTAGGTGCTATGGATTAGCCGAGCTTACACCTGAATAACTATTGCTGCATGGACTTAATTAATTTTGCTCCTCATGTTCATAATACACTAGTGTTGTTTATCAAATAGAATTGAGATTATTCCTAAATCATCTGGGGATTAACAGTGTCAGGATACAACCTCAGTTGTTAGTCTCTGCATGCTTTTGTCATATGAATGTAGCCTAATTGATATAACATTTCAAATGGAAACAGTTTCCAAAAGCTGCTTTTCATCTTGGGTTAAATTTCTTGGAAAAATGCATTTCATATTTTCCTATGTCCTATTACATTGTAGGGATGCAAAAGGTGATTATCTCTCTTTGGTTGAGTTGAAGTCATGAGGCTCACTCACATGGCAGCCAGTGAGTGATGTCAATTCATAGAGAGTCAACCCCAGTTTTTAGTTTATTTCTCACAAGATGTGTTGGCCCATGCCAGTTACTATGTAGCACATGGAAAAGATAGACATCACATGCCCACAGTGATAGGGCATACAGAGCAGCCCACATGGTCTCACCAGAAATGTAAAGGACGCCACCAACCTGCCCCTTTTCCCATTGGAAAATTTTACAAGACCTCTTTTTTGAATCTTTCATGCTGATTTTTGTATACATATGTTATAGTTTCTCTGTGTGGGCCAAATTATTGATAAGTATGTATATATTGGTATAAAAAATCTCTTTAATGCTTGTTATTCCTTTCTTTCGGATATTTTGTTCTGTCCATTGTAAGAATGAGGAATTGCATACTGGAACTATTCTTTTTTGTTTAGCACCCCCATTAATATGATCTTTTATTTTAATCTTGTTTATTCTTGTTGGCTGTATAAAAGGGGAAGTGTCGATAATCCTGTGTGATGTTTAAACTCCAAATAGGGTTATTCAGAAATAATTATTCTTAACAATGACATACTAGAATTGTGAGTAAAAAATAGACTTTTATAATATTTGCTTTGTTTTACATGAGAAAGCATGTATTATATTTCTAAACTTTGTTAGAATGTTTTCTTTGTATAAAATAACACCTTTTGCTTCCATTCTTCCAACTTCTCCCTAACTGTTCTTAATTTTTGTTTTTAATGTTTGGTAAAATTACTTAACCTATTGAGGCTGGACACACACACACAGATATATATATATATATATATATATATATATATATATATATATATATATATATATATAATCGTTTTAACCTAAGCAAAGCAATGAAGTTACAATGACGATACAAGGGGTTACTGAGTGTTAAAGAATATGAGTAAAAAACATTATTATGGAAAGAAAACATTTGTGTGTTTGTTTAGTGACATGTCAACATTTTTTGAGTCATTTAATGCTGAAATTTAATTTTCTTGAGAGCATTAGTAATTTTTTTCCAAAAAATTTATTGCTGGTAATTTTTTTTTTTTTTTCGAAAATGTATTTCTGGTAATATTTTGTTTTTCAAAAATGTATTTCTGGTAATATTTTGTTTTTCAAAAATGTATTTCTGGTAACATTTTGTTTTTCAAAAATGTATTTCTGGTAATATTTTGTTTTTCAAAAATGTATTTCTGGTAATATTTTGTTTTTCAAAAATGTATTTCTGGTAACATTTGGTTTTTCAAAAATGTATTTCTGGTAATATTTTGTTTTTCAACAATGTATTTCTGGTAATATTTTGTTTTTCAAAAATGTATTTCTGGTAATATTTTGTTTTTCAAAAATGTATTTCTGGTAACATTTTGTTTTTCAAAAATGTATTTCTGGTAATATTTTGTTTTTTCCAACAATGTATTTCTGGTATTTTTACTATAAAATCTATTTTTATACTTTGTTAGTGTTTTGACTTGAATTTGGAGGTTAACTATTTGTCCATAGGTGTGACTCTAACAGGTGCTACCACTTCAGAGAGAGAACAAATAAAAGAATAAGAATTAAGAAAACAGAAGATAATGATTAGTACTTTATTCAAATTTTTGAAGATTGAAGTTGACTGGGAAGCAAGAAGCCTGAAGAGAGTCCCACAAGCAAGAAGTGCAAGAGAAGAAACTTTCAGCATAGAACTTACAGTTGCATCTTTAGCCATTTCAATACTAAAATGACGAGATCTTACTGCCAATCTAGTGCTGTGCTTAAACTCATAAAGTCTAGGTACCATAGAGGAAAGCTTACAATTACCGGGAAAATATTTATGGAAAAATATGGAGAAGCTATGTTATGGCAGTGAGAAAGTGACTGAAACAAGATGCCACGTCAAGACCAATAACATTGCAGATTCTTCTTTGGATTTTATCAAGACTCTAAATATATAGCAGGAGCAGCATATATTTAGCAAATGCCAATAAGGGTGTTACTAACAACTGCAAAATGTATTAAACCATTCTTTGTATACATAAGACAAGTGAAAGATTAACAATCTGAATAATAATTCTCTAAAAATGTGATAAAGTGTTTCATTTAAGGGCTGATTTTATCCTAGTCATGAAAGTACTTGAATTTCTTAAATAAAGAATTATCAATTTTTGTTTGTATTTCTTTTATCTTAATTTTGGCTGCTTTTTATTCTGTAATCATACTTATTATAAAACCCCAGTTGTGTGTGTGTGTCTGTACATTTATATATTGGATTGAATTTCCTACATTTTTCAACCGATTTCCACATTACTTCATAGGACTACGTAAAATTACCTTGCGGTGGTTCTGACTGCACCAAAAATTGGAAAAACACAATTGTTTTTGCATGAAATCAATTTAAAAACACAATTAAGAGGCATCGCAAGAATGAAAGGGGGACAACTCAAATGAAGTTATTCTTATTATAAAACCCAGGTTGTTTGTGTGTGTGTGTGTGTGTGTTCGTTTATATATGGGATGGCATTTCCTACATTTTTCAACCGATTTCAACAAAACTTCACTTTTTTTTTGGCAGGTAGTGTTTCTTATTGTCTTGTACACTTTTTTTCTTTATTTTTACATTCAGAATGCTTTAAAAATTCCATTTACAAGACAATTGTTTATAATAAAATTCTATTCAATCGGTAGACTCATAATGATTGAAAACAATGTTTTTGTTTGAGTTTGGGTTTGACCAATTCGTAAAAAACAAAAACAAAAGAAACAAAAAAAAACTAATCATTAATTCATAATTAATAAAAAGGAAATAAATGCTAATAAAAAATTAAAATTATGAAAATTTAAAGACATACTCTAGAAAAAAAAACATTGAATCCCATGCTGTAGCATTGGACATCTTTAAAGCCTTAGACAGGGTTATTCAGGTCTTCCCCACAATTCGAAAAATTCAAAAAGTTATGGTGTCTTTGGACATTTTATTGAACTGATCCAGTTTTTTCTATCAAATCGTGAAATGATA